AGTAATTTTTTGTAACTTTTCTTGATTACTTGTAAGCTATTTAGTTTTGGTTTTGTATATATTGTATTTATTATTCAGTACATGACATATAAATTTTTTTATTTGTATATATTTGTATTATGTCAAGTGATCTGTATCTTAGAGTTTGTTTGATTCTCCAAATTTTTAGAAAAAATTTTTTATTGTCAGTTTTAAAGTTAAGACTTTTTCTATATTTCTGGTTTTCTTAAACTTTTCTTCTATTCTTCTGCTTTGGTTTATGTATTTTTCTTCTTTGCTTTTTTTTACTTAGTAGCTTTTATATTTGTTTTTAATAAGAATTTTGTGTTTTCTTCGTTTTTCTTTTTGTTTCAAATTTGATCAAAGTAATTAATAAAAAAAGATTTTTGATGTTTATAAGTTTTAGCTTTTGAAACTAATTAGATATATAGCTAATTAATAAATTGAATATATAAGTTAAATGCTAGAGAAAAAGCTAAAAATGACAAAAAAAAAGATCTTTAGAAAATCAATTTTTATATTATAAATCTTATAATAAATTATAAGAAAATACAAACTTTAAAGAGCTATACTGCAAAATTTTATTAATACAACTACTTTTGTATCTTAAATGAAAAATAATTCTAATTTAATTTTAAATTGATTTATATAAAAAAAAATTCATTTGAAAAAATTGTTATTTTCGGTTCTTTCTCTAGCTCCTAGCTCATATAAACAACAACTAAAATTAATTAGCCACATGTCCAATTAGCGATATATCTAATTAACTACTAAAGCTAAGGCTAATGATATTTTATTAGACTTAAGGCTAGTTACAACACTAGTAACAATAATATCTACAACTTTAATTAGAAGCATAAGCAAAGTTATCTAGTAAAAAATTACTTTTCTTTGTATACTACTTAGATTCTACTAATCTTAACCGGATTAGTAATTATATAAAAAATCTAAGTTGTTGAAAATTTTTATATTCTAATATTTTTTACAATAATTCACACTCTATTTAACATTGACAAGTATATATTAATAAATCATTTTTTATGTTAAATACATAAAAATTATTTTTTTAAATTATTTTCACCAAATTTTATTTAATCATATAAAGCTAATTAATCAGTTTCCGCAGCCTCAGGATCACTATCTTCATCACCTGAAACTTCAGCATTTTCTTTTTCGGCGTTAGCCATAAGCGCAGCAAGTTGTTGGTCATCAGTTTCACTCACAGCCTTTGGCTAATTAAGAAAAAAATTTTAGAAATATTTCAAAAAAATAAAATAAAATGAAAAAAAAATTATACTAACTCTCATTTTAATCGTCAAATTTCCACCCGATTTCTCGATAGACTCTTGTATCGTAGAAATTGCTCTTTCTAGCATTTCAATTCCTAGATTTTTATCCAAAGCATTGGTGATCATAACATATAATGGTGGCGCAACTAATTTGACCTAATATATAAACAATATAACAACCTGGTTGTCAGAAAAACACGAAATATTTATAAAAAATATACAAGAAATAAAAAATACCTTAATTATCATATCACTAGTCTCACATGCTTCACCAGCCCTAAGGGCCATTCTAATGGCATCGATACCATCATAACCAAAGCAAGTAACTTCAATATCTACGAGGGATAATAATAATTAAAATAAGAAGAAATCAATAAAATGCAATAAGAATTTTTAGCATACCAGCACGAATTTTATTTGGCTGTGGAGTTAATCTGCGTTTAATATTATTTAGCAATTCATCACTGATTTCTTTAGATATCTCGATGCCTTCAAAAAATTTTTCAGGTTCTCTATATTATTAATGAAAAATTTAGAA